GGAGCGGGGAGAGCCTGCACTGGGGTAGGCCGGTGAGGAGAGGGAGTTGCAGTAGTCCAGGCGTGAGATGATGAGGGAGGCCTGGTGAGGAGGGAGTTGCAGTAGTCCAGGCGTGAGATGATGAGGGAGGCCGGTGAGGAGGGAGTTGCAGTAGTCCAGGCGTGAGATGATGAGGGAGGCCGGTGAGGAGGGAGTTGCAGTAGTCCAGGCGTGAGATGATGAGGGAGGCCGGTGAGGAGGGAGTTGCAGTAGTCCAGGCGTGAGATGATGAGGGAGGCCGGTGAGGAGGGAGTTGCAGTAGTCCAGGCGTGAGATGACGAGGGAGGCCGGTGAGGAGGGAGTTGCAGTAGTCCAGGCGTGAGATGACGAGGGAGGCCGGTGAGGAGGGAGTTGCAGTAGTCAGGCGTGAGATGACGAGGGAGGCCGGTGAGGAGGGAAGTTGCAGTAGTCCAGGCGTGAGATGACGAGGGAGGCCGGTGAGGAGGGAGTTGCAGTAGTCCAGGCGTGAGATGATGAGGGAGGCTGGTGAGGAGGGAGTTGCAGTAGTCCAGGCGTGAGATGATGAGGGAGGCCGGTGAGGAGGGAGTTTGCAGTAGTCCAGGCGTGAGATGATGAGGGAGGGCCGGTGAGGAGGGAGTTGCAGTAGTCCAGGCGTGAGATGATGAGGGAGGCCGGTGAGGAGGGAGTTGCAGTAGTCCAGGCGTGAGATGGTGAGGGAGGCCTGGGTGAGGAGGGAGTTGCAGTAGTCCCAGGCGTGAGATGATGAGGGAGGCTGGTGAGGAGGGAGTTGCAGTAGTCCAGGCGTGAGATGATGAGGGAGGCCGGTGAGGAGGGAGTTGCAGTAGTCTAGGTGTGAGATGATGAGGGAGTGTACGAGTTGTTTGGTGGTGTCTGGGGTAAGGAACGTACGTATCTTGGAGATGTTGCGGAGGTGGAGCCTGCATGAGTTTGTAAGTGATTTGACATGAGGTTACATTTCTACATACATTTCCATTACAACCTTTTGGACGTGGAGTATTCCATACAATGTGCAAAGTATGTGTTCATTCCTCTCGGGGGGTCAGGAAGGAATTTTTCCCCTGCAGGAGGAGATTGGATCGTGCTTTGCTGTTTTTTTTTGCCTTCCTCTGGATCCACTGTGGGTGGAGGATTATAAACTTTTTTTTTTTCTCTTTTCTCTTCTCTTTTTCTTTTCTCTTTCTATGGTTGAACTGGATGGACTTTTGTCTCTTTTCAGCCAGACTAAACTATGTAACATCATAAAATAACCCTCCGCACACAGATCACAGATTGTACATTGGCGGTAATATCGTATGATTTTCCTCCAACACGTGTGTTGGCCTCTACATGTATTGGATGGGAATGTTCCGCTCTGTTGCTTCTCTTTGATCCGGTACTTTCTCTTTCAATGCCCCTGTATCGTGTGTGGCCGGACACATTGGGTCCTGCAGACATGCTGTATTTTGTGGGGGTCACTCTGTACCAGTGTTCTGCTTGTTTTTGTTGGATTTTCATCAGATTAATATCCGACGCCTCGTGCGCTCCTTTGTCGGGGTCAGCGTGCGTTTTGTTCATTCGCTGCGTTGCGATGTGCTTGTTCTTCCCCGGAGACGCAGCGAGCTGATATTAGATCACCTTCACATATTTCTGTTGTCAGAGGGTGACGTGTAGAGGAAAGAGAACAAACCCTCCTGCGTGACATCCTCTGCCTTGTATTCACGGCAGGGCTGCTGTTAGAAACCATGGGGCCCCATACAGCCAAAACCCGACAGGGCCCCATACAGCCAACCCGACAGGGCCCCATACAGCCCCACCTGACAATCCCCCCCCCCCCACATTTCCACAAGAAAACCCAGTTTACTATGTTTTTTAATTATGAAAGAACACAGTGATTGATTGGTACCAATCACTGATTGTGTTTCATTCAGGATAGAAAGGAGCTGGTTAATGTGACATATTTACCAGACCCTTCCCCCACTCTCCATCCTGAGGCTTCTATTGTGTGCTTGCATCTGCCTGAGGGAATGAGGAGGGAAGCCGGCAACATTACAGGGATGGGGGCAGCAGGGGGGGAAATGTATGGAGCACAGGGAGGGTGATGGGGTGGAGTGGATCGAAAAGGGGGGGGGGGCCAATTACTGTAACTGTTTTCTTGTATGGCTCTCTCTGCAGCGGGAGGGAGAGGGAAGAAGGCAGAGAGGGATGGAGGACACTGAATGGAGGCCAGTGGAGGGAATGACAAAGGGGGGTGGAGGACACTGAATGGAGGCCAGTGGAGGGATTGGCAGAGAGGGGTGGAGGACACTGAATGGAGACCAGTGGAGGGATTGGCAGAGAGGGGTGGAGGACACTGAATGGAGGCCAGACAAGGATTGGCAGAGAGGGGTGGAGGACACTGAATGGAGGGGGGTACAGTCTATGGTAGAGTTTGGCCAATGAGAAGAGAGTTGCAATAGTCGAGGCAAGAGCTGAGATAACTCGGGGGGGGGGGGGGGAGGTA